CGACTGTTTTAAACGTTGGTTTGTTTGAGAATTACTGGTTTAGGAGTGAATGTGATAGGCCTTGACACAAAGCCATTGTGTAATAGTCATAAATGCAAACAATCAGACACATGGTCGAATTCCCGCAGGAATATGTATCCGGTTTCAAATCCATACCAAAGGTGAATATCCAGTGTATTTTTGGCGCCTGATACATAACGGTAAGTGGTTTTGACCACAAAAAGGCTGTGTTTAACAAAAGACTGATCACCATAAAGTTCCACACGGACTTAGGCTCGGGTGGCTTGAGACACTACTTTTAACTGCTTATACATCATGGGTATTGAGGTAATCCATGGTGAAGTATTCGTCAACGATGTATACACATTAGGCCAGACAAACAGGTACGTGCGCTTCTAAACGTTAACGGGAGTTGATTTCCTTGACGTAACACACTACTCATTTTCAATCGTTCACAAGAAAGTATGTGGCAGAATTGAAGCCCGACAAGCAATCGTTTCACCGTGATTCAGTGGCTGGAAGATTCGCCAGCTATTCAGTCGAACCAGTCCCAGGGGTAGGTTGTCTGAAAGTTATCACTTGCCTGTGGTTGGACACTCTCATCAGCTGTTTACTGACAAGCCCAAAAACAAGGGTATTGTAAATATGTCCACCTATTTCTAATTAAGCATCGTACGAGTGATCACAAGGAGTAAAGATGCGCCAACGATATCAAGACAAACACAGGATGCTTGACCAGTTGGGGATAGAAAGTATGGGAAGGAATTCTTACGACTTTCACCGGAAAGTCAGTTGATTTTATTTGGAACGGAGTCACTAAGACTGTGTACGCACACAAAGCTCATTGATTTTATATCCAATAATGAAAAGTAGAAAATCCTGTAATGTTACAGTAGAGTATGGTAGACCGTCTTCACATACTGTCCTCTAGACCGAAGTGACATCCTTCTCGACTTGCAGTCACGGTGACTAAGTCGTTTAATCAATAACAGCTCACCGTTCAAAGCCACACAGCCAGTTACGCCTGTTTTCATCATCAAATTCCGTTGCGGTTGATGATAGGTCAGGCTGACAGGATCGATATTGGCCCGCACGACACTCAGGTCCATGTGAATGTAATGTACATTTGAAAGTTATAACACCCGGTAAATTAAGCTGCTCTCTGCAGCAAAAGTGTGTTTGCTATTTTGACAAGGTTGAAGTATGCTACTTAGCTCTTCTTCCGTCGGTAGAGGCTTGTATCAGACCTGTTGATTGGTGCATGTGATACCGATAGCTGGTCGCCATCAACAGCGTTCAAAGCCAGGTTTGAAACCCAAGTCACTATCCTAAAAGCAGCTTATGAATGAGAAATCTGATGCTTAAAATGGTCGTTCCTTCAACACGAATGATTGATGAAAGGCGAAACACATTCAAATGTGGATGTACTCAATTTCACTAGCTGATCTGTTTTTTATGTAGGTCCTTTACATGAAAAAAAGCTGATACACTGTCTTGGCGGAGCACACTACCTACAACAGTGCTGAAAACTCTTCAACAGCCCACAGTCTGCTTTGTATTTGTCGAGGCTCATCAGGTAGGCACAGTCTCAGACTGTTCGTCAAACTTATATTCTACCTGCACACCAAATTGTACGTAACCGGCGAAATACACTCACTCGATTAGGTCACTCGTCAACGCCAGTTTAATTTTGCAAGTAAGTATATTTCGCCATCTGCGTACATTTTGCTGTTCAATTAAAGCACGGTTGACGGGAACTCAGGGACTGCACCGACTTGATGACTTCCAAAAAGAGTGAAACCGGTCGTGAGTTGTCGAAGAGCTCACGGACTATTTTCGCAAACTTCGGAAGCATTTCATACGAGTCCGAGTTAAGTGTCTATTTTGTGCGACATTTATCTGGAATGGCTTTCAGTGGAAAAACCCAACTCTGGCTTCCGTTTCCTTTAATAACTCACTTTGAGCAATACGTTCGGTTATGAAACTCCTCTCTTTAAGCTATTTTCCACCAGCCAATATCCATTATGCCTGCACTTCACAGATTTAAGTCTTCACAATAGTTTATTTTCTGGTAAAAGGCATAGAGTTTTGTTGTTGGTCATAAAAGTAAACATCGATCTTAAAACTAAAGGCAAGACGCTAAGCCCATCAGCCATCAGTAATATCATCGCAGCGCTGACTGCCTATAATTTATTGGGCGACGCAATGTGCATTCATGTGCAAGATGTGTAGTCACGTAAGCGCGTACTGTCTGAGGCAGTCATTTGATATCGATGTCATTCTTGTGGGTAACTAATGCTGATAAAAAGTCACTTTGACTTTCTAGCTCTTGCTGGGATGGAAAAGATCCATTGCCGGGTAGTCGGTTAGCCATTGGACGAATCTGCACCATAGTTTCGAATACGTCGATTCCGTCACCTTAACACGGCAATTCGCGGAATACTTGTACACACCTAAAAAGCAAAACCAAATAAAGTGTGTTCGGCTGTCTTGGTGTGAACCAAGAAAGTCCAAATAATGTCCATCATCCTTCATTCCGAGATACACGATACTGTGCAGAAAAGCCATATATAATGGGAAAAAATCATGAACTCAGACTAACTGAAATCTTGAGTGGGAGGCTAGAATACGTTCTAACTGCTTAGGCGAGTATTTTGAGCTCACTGATAAATTCGGAGGAGCAAAAGCAATTGCAGTAACGAAACAGTGAAGAGGGGTGAGTTGTTTCGAGCTTGTATGCCATCCGTAAGAAACCTGAGAACTCTCATAATGCCAAGGTTCATTGATTGGAAATAGGATGAAAGACAAAGCCAGGAGCAAATACACTATTTCTGCTACACTGAATAATACGTGAGCAATCATTATTTGGTAGAGGCACCCTGCTCTTCTTCACGAGAACCTTAGCTTTTCCACCACTGGATTTTCGTCATAGAACGGCTTGAAGACCATGAATAGCCCAAGCTACGTACTGAGTACTGGATTGTCTGTAGTTCCGATAAATTTGAGGCAAACTGTCATCCAGGACCGGTAATAATTTTTGGTCATCCACAAAGATAGATAAAAGGCACCTCTTCCATGTCTTTACCGTGTTGCCACGGGAAAACTGGTGTGATTGAAGCAAAGATAATGGCTACTTGCGCTCAAAACTTGTTTGAGTAGTATATGGGTCGTGGCATAACTGCGAAGTAATGTTATTACTTGGAGTGAAGCAAGTGAAGCGGACTTAAGTTCGCTTCTAAAATTTGTACAAAGACAGATTTTTGATTCAGCATCGTTATAGATGACAGTACTAGACATTCCAAGCCGAACTGAAGGAGTGTTCGCAGTATGATAGAATCAGATCCTTAGTACACATACACACCTACAGATTCTTGACAGGTTGTCTAAATCGTTCAACGAATCAGCCAAGGTTAGATTTATTCTCTGTTGAGTCATCAGTTTCCTGAAACGCTCGAAATTGTATTCCTTCGCTTTTCCTAGTTCTCGATATTTTTTTCTTGTTTTTTGAAACAATATTTCTGTGGATTCTAATCGACTGAACATGAGCCATATGCTAGCCTTGATGCTGCGTAATAGAGGTCAGAATTCTCCTTGTGTGCCGCGTATCTAAACAATCTCGTTGGGAAAGCAATCAGAATAAATAACCGGCTGTCTTCATTTGGATACGCGTATTGTATAATTGCTGTTTTCTTTCAATTTCATCAACATACGCCGACGGTTAAGTGAACAATCAGCTAGTATCGTTTTCATCTGTCACCTTCCAAAGTTCTCCTTCGGGGAGTGGTTTAGAAAAATTTATATACAAAAGTGACATTGCACCGAGAAGTGGAACTTGTGGAGCTCGAAATTTTACACCGCAATGTACATGTGGGCTTAAACGAAACGCAAATTGTGCCTTTCATTTTCAGTTGAAATCGAGTCGTAACAGCGCCAGAGGTGGCTAGTTTAGCATCGCATTGCGACTGATTGACAGATCTTGTGGGGAAATCTCCCAATATTTCTCATGGGATATATGATAAAAATAAAAACAATATCTCCTAGTGCATATTCTTGGCATATTTTGGCTTAGACACTAGTTGTTAACACCGTGTAGATTGCGCGTGACTGTGATGTAACCACACAAACACCGGGCTTCAAGGACGGAGCCAAAGTTTGCACGTGATGTCTGTCTATGATCCGCGATACCGTTGACCAGTCATGCCCGTTTGCCATCCTCGTGAGCATAATTACGTTCTACAGGATATGGTCAGGTGTATCTATCAAAAATGATATCACAATGTATTGGTGAACCTGGCATACATGTACCATTTGTGAACGCCCAACTCAGTGCACTTTTGTGCGGTGTGAAAGCAAAACCATGTCCTTCGAACTACACAATCCACATTTCGGAATTCGGGATTGGGCGCCACATTGCAACTACGCGGACGTGATTTCATCAACTAGTAGATACTGAGACTTTATGGTGTCCAAGATAAACCTTTCTGATCAAACTGAACTGCGCATAACACGCGGTAGAGTGCTCCTGTTGCAGCAGTTACTTTGCAAAGATTAGCATAAATTGCACATCTTTCTCAATTGTTGGACATTAAGTTTTCCTTGGTGTAGCAGTAGCTGAAGGGTGAACAGTTTCCTAAATTCACGTACATAGGAGAGAAATCGCAAAAAGTCTACCTATTTCTTGCGTTTTATGGTATGAATGGTTGTGCTGTAAGCGTACATGATTCGCTCTTTTTATCGTCTATGTATATATATATATATATATATATATATATATATAAGTTACCCGGAACGTTTTAATCAAGGTCTTCTTTTTCTTCGCTTTTATGGCAAACCTTATGCTTACTGTGAATTACGTACACTGCTACATGTTCAGTCTTTTGGTTTGACCGTATATCTCAAATTGTGTGCTAGTCTATTACAGTGTTGCTGTCCCGACCCTTGGGCTTTCTGCAAAAAGCTACATGTTACTGAATTTGCGCTCTCCTTATTTTCGTCCACAGAAAAAGAGCTCCGGACACCTCCTCTGAGTGGACTCATCCTACCAGGGGTGACCCGACAAAGTGTTCTTGAAATTACCCGCTCTTGGGTGAGTGATCGTTTTGAACTGCGACCAATACATGATGTTAATTTGGATTTCCGTCAAACAGTTGCCTAAACTAATCAGTTCGGAAGTTGCACCACATTATTTTCCTCATTAAGACATTCTAGGGTTCTTCCAACTGTATTTGATTAAAATTCTCAGGATGAAAATACCGGTATTCCTGTGGAAACTTGGGAAACGCCCAAGAGAAGATCATGGCATTGGTTTGGTGTGTGATAGTTGTGCTTCTAACGTAGCCATCATTTCATATTCTCACAGCTGTTCTTACGTCGTTATGTCCAGCCCACACTGCTTTGCAGCTTGGGAAAGACTGGCGTCTCTGTACCGACCTCGAAATACCAAGGTAACACAAACTAATGATCTCCAGTGAACGGGAATAATTTGTGCAACAGCCACTCAAGCTTCGTATTAATGAATATCTGGGATGTGACTTCGAAAGGGACAGGAGTGTTCAATCTGTCAAATCATGGCGGAAGCTTCATGGGTTACAGAGTGCCTTTATCAACCAAAACTATCCGACCTCCTGATCACTTGATCCTCCTGATCCTGGACTTCTGTCAAGATTGAAACTTTGTCACCCTGAACTCCTAGAAGTATCTTAACCGGCACGACGTCGACTGTGAATTAGGTGCTCTACAACGCCAAATAATAATTGGATTCACTCAGCTAAACCAGTTCGTTTTTTGTAGTTGGCGCCACATGAATTTCATTATCCAGTGTTGCGTACCACATCAAGATCGCAGTGTTACCTCCAGTGGAAGTCACATGGCCTAGAGAAGCGGTTTTTCAATGAGTTAAGCGTGTCTGACCTTGAGCTTTTTGGAAGGTTAGATTAAGTTTGATTAGATCAGGATTAGCCAAAAATTGGTTTTGACGTCCTTTTAAAATCGCATCATCCTCAGAATACACAGAAAAACCATACGCAACAAATTTTACTTGTTGCCTAAATTATCTTTAGGCCGTGAAAATAGAATTTCAGCGGCTCCCTCTCGAAGATGCACCCAAACTGGAAAATGGCAAATTTCATATTGGATGATTGTAACAATCATTACAAAAGTTAAACCAGTAGCCAAATATAAGTGAATTCTTCCTCTGCACCACTTTTACTGTATTCCCAAAATGAGTCGGGCAGCGCTCATTTAATCTGGCTAGATCTGGTAGCTTGTTGTTTGAATACCGGAACTGAAACTGGCGGTGTCCATCAGCGACTTCAGGATTAATATACATCTCCTGCATCTATTGGGCCCTTGAATACCCGTGAATTCTATGGCATAGGAATTTTGTGAGTCGTTTATGAAGTGGCTGAGAAACGGCAAAACCTCTCGACAAATCGAGACTGAACTGAGTGACACGTACGATTTGTTTTTGCTGTTTTCAATTTTCTTGTAAAAAATTGCCAAATGCTATGCAACTTGTTTCTTAGTTTTGCGTACAAGTTGGACCGTTTGAGGAGACTCTGAACCGAACCAAAACTTACATCACATAGCGAATATAATAATATGCGATTTTCGAAACGAATACCTGGCCACTCCGTTCAAAAATGCACTTCCTTTCTGTTCACAAGTAGTTGGTTGGTAACGCACAAGAATGTGCGGAAAGATAAACAAATATGAGCACAAAATACGATTTTCTCTTAACCATATATTTTTTCTATCTAGAAAACAGACAGCCTCTTCAAAAACACAATTGGAACTGATTTGGATTTTATTCTGGCAGGTTGTCTCCGAAGAGGGACAAATTTGCGTCTAATCAATGGTTTTGCACTTAATGGTGCATCATAGCGTCCCGATCTCTAGTGCTAGGTGCAGAGGCCGAGTATATGGCCAGCCGCGTAGCCGACCTCCATAAACCCATCAAAGGTGAAATGGAAATGCGTGTTCTTCGCCTTAAATCGTACGCAGCTACGCGCAGTAAGTTTAATTTACTGTTCGCAAAACGCATCTTTTTTGGGTGGTATTTTGATATTTTGGTACAAATTTTTACTCAAAACAAGGGATGATTTGTTGATGAGTGCAAGATTATTGTAAGTTATTGGAGCAACAGAACCATATCAGCTTGCTTATCATTAATCTTGTGCATAGTTTTCAGTCGTAGTCAGTATGAGATTGCTGAAGGGTGGATTGTTAGACAGAACCAGGGATCCACCACCGTCATCATCAATGAAATCAACAAACACATCAGTAAATGCTAGCGCTTAGCTGTCAAGAAAGAAAAATAGTTTAGCAGAAGTAGAAATAGAGGGATTTAGTACAAAAAGCTTAAGGGAGTAATGCATAAGGATGGTTTGATCCGAACTACCACCCATGAGTTTTGAAAGCCGGTCCTGATCTGTGACATGGAAAATGGCTGTGAAACATTAGTCGTTACCGTCTGCAAAACAAACCAGCATTCATGCAGACAAAATTTTTGTGTCATTTTTCCAGAATGAATTCAAAGTGGTTGAGAAGGACATAACAATGTCAATGTTGCTGAATGCACTGAAGGAAAACCGTCTTCATCATATGTTTGGTAGCGGCACTGCTTGTGTCGTGTCCCCGGTGATGGAATTGTACTACAAAAATAATCGGTATTCCATTCCATTCACGGAGGACCCCTCCAGCATACCGGAGCGGATCCTCAAAGAATATACAGACATTCAGGTTAGTTGAAAAAACTATTCTCACCTATCTCTACACATTGGCTGATAGTAAGATTCCATTGATTAGTTTGCGATTTTGATTAATAGAAAACATTCACGCAGAAATCCAGACCGCACCTTATGCAGTTCAACTACGGTCTATTAAGACAAGTTAGCTTTTACAAGGAGTGAAACGTGATTTTGCCAAAAGGAAGAGATTCTTTGAGAGGTCTAATCTCTTCATTCTTTATTATGGTCTGCTTTGCTAGGGCTATTGTGCCCCCGGTTGTACTAAAATAAGGCATTAGACTCTCGGCGCGAGTTCGGTATAGCGGATTTCGTCAGCTAAGCTCTAAAATAATAACAAATATTTGCGCTCATCCGTGAATACCAAGTGCTCTTGTCCTTTTCTCGTGCAACACCACGACGGGCTTTTGCGTAGTCTTCGTGGTGTATATATACTATACTCCGAGTATGACTGAACTCCGACGAGCATCTTATCCCGTCATACAGTAACCTTGTTCCTATCAAGACAAAGCTTGAAATCCGAAAATTTTACTTGTCATAAACATCAGTTGACTACACTCAGTTATTACCACATAGCCTTTGAAACAGTTACTTGGTGGTTGAAAGATGAACTTGTCTTGCCGGGTTCAAATGAAGGCAAATATTCAAAAGTCTCGTTGCTTGCTATCGGATGACCACTTTCTATGTGGTTTCATTGTGAGTGGGGCACCAGAGTCGGAAGAATCATGATCCCAACCATTTGTTACAAAGTGCGGAAAACTCAAAATATTTAGCAGTGACCGGGCACTTCATCGGAAAGAAATTCCTGAATTGCCTCTGAACGTCTGGAAACCTAGTCTGCCAAGTTGGACAATAAATTAGCAAATAAATCGTCACTCCCAAACTGCCCAGGACCTAACCATGGGGGCTGTAAACATTCTGTCGACCCCTCAATGCATGCATTATCCATCGTACGTGATTTGCTTGTCATCGAATGGTAAGCCCCTATCAGTTGGTTGAAAATAGTGATATCAAGTATTTTGGGTATGCCGGAAGATATTACACGGTAAGCTAGATTTAACATGCACCTCTTTTCCGTCATCGTGTCAGCAGCTTTCCCTGGAGGGTTATCATTCTGTGGCAGCTTAGAGCTTCATTCACAAAACACAGCAGTTGAAATGCGACCTGGGGTCACCTAATCCTAGAGCAGAAGCTGACTGTCAGTTAATACGATGGGTTTTAAGTTAATAGTTGATCATGCCAGACTTTTCAACGTTTCCACCAATAAACGATGATCAAATCAGTTTATTAGAAATGGTTTTCAAGGGAACAAAGACTCAGATAAAATTTGCAAATTAACCTGTCGAAGAAACCAAGACGTTTCATCTGAAGTGATAACCAAGTGCCCTCGGCCAGTAGAGAACATCTACATGTATTTTACCACATAAATATATATATATATATTGCTTCGGCTATTTTACACAACTAAACAAAGGCTGACAAGACCTAGCGCTTGAATGTTCACTCATAACCATGACTCTTTCAATGTTGAAGGACGTAAGACACGAAGATCAAGATAGCGATAGGCAAGCGGTTGTTTGTCTACTCCCTTGATTACAATCCAGTCCTAGACAACAGTCTGGATTTGGCACCTTCTTTTTAAGTTCACTCTCTGTGTTTGCGAAGTACATGCCCGAAGTACTACAGTTCATGTCTCTGGTTTCATGCATCTGGTTTCGAGATACAATAACAATGTTGTCAAACCACTTCCCTGAAAACCATATTTGTCCATCTAAACGAAGGCGATAGCGTAAGTCTTCACTGGTGGAAATTGAAATTGTTGAGCTCTGTCGGAGTTTACCTCTCATCGAGTGGTCTACTTTAGAGAGACAATTTTGTGCTCCCCGGAGGAGTTGCAATTCTCAGAAAGATGCTGGCCGGAGGGACTGTTGTATAACTGTTCTGATGCTAATTCTTCAAAACGAATGTTTTGATAGAAACGCGAAGATGTAATGATAGGTGGCTATTATGTTTAGAGGGCCGTGAAAGACTTCGTGTTTTATGAAATGAACTAAACAACCCTCGGAGCGTTTGATTTATGTATTAGTTGCTAATGTATGCCAACTTTTGAATTAACTTCGGTATGACACTTTCAGTAATCTCCCAAGAGGACCACAAAGAGGAAAAGGGCAAAGGTATGAGTGTTTTCCCAATCACCATCTAAGTTATTCAAAATATCTGTTTGTAAAGACCACGAATGCTTGCAAAGGACCTGATGATCACCAAGTCGTTGGCATGGAATCTGAAGGACGGCTGAATCTGGCCGCGGTTCCTCCCCTGGAGAGTTGCAATCAGGTCGTGGATGGTTGAGATAGCTCTTCTTGTACTCTTCTTGGTATTAGCCTGCCTTCGCAGGTGTCCCTCTCTAGAGGGAGAGTTGCATCTTCTGTCTTTGTATCCGAACCATACCCCGTTGAGAATGTGTCTTGAACAATACGCCGTTTGTTCTGTTTTATGAGCTGGAGATAGTTTAGTGGTTAAGGCACGGACTTACTGATCGGAAAGTCCGTGGTTCCAACCGGACCACGGTATCTCGAATGTTCCTGTCTAGGCTTTGACAGTATCCAAGCCCTCATGCTTTCTTCAGGTGACATGACGCTAGACAATCAAAGGTTGTTACAGCTGAACGATTTTTTTTTATTTTTATGTTCTATTTCACAGAGGGCTGTGAACGGACCACATCCCTGGGCGCACCCTATTGACAAACCTCGGTGATTTGGACCCAGTTACTACATATCGTTAGTAATTGTTGCACCTATGTATCTACGGATCTCTCTGGTTCACACATCCAAGCACGTTCCTTGCAAACCTAGTCAAATATCTCTCAGAGTTATTTTTCCCTGGTTCGTAAATGATCAGTTTGTTGATATTGTGATTACGTTCATATCTGCACATTGTGTTGCAAATTCCGGAAGCTGCATCGAAATTCCATTATCTTACTTTCTATGAGAAATTTCCACATTTATTCAAACCAGCTCGTGTTTTGCTTTATGTAATTCTTTTGTTTCTGTTGTTGTTGTACTGATAGCTTACTAACAACAAGACGTCCTGGTTAAAGCTTCAAAAGCGTTTTCATCGATTGTCACTACATCTCTTTTCACTTTGGACATAGGATGAGTTTGATTTGGCAGTAAGACCAGCTGATTATTCACCAGCCGTCAAGCTGTTCTAATCAGTTTATTGGCCGATGATTCTCAACTCTAACCAAGAATATCTGATCGAGTTCTGGAATCCGTAAGCCGTTACTAGGTAGCAAGCGTCCTTTGTACAAGCCGCACAGGGTGAGGACATGTCGAACACGTGAGTCCGATGAAAGTTAAATCCTCCATCATTGGACAACCTCCTCAATTCATCATTATTTCGTGAAAAAGAACCAGGGGACAAGATGCAAACGTCATCAGAGAGGCTGACCAGAAGCTTCTTGATAACCATGGAATACTCTATATGAAGAGCGAAGAAATCTCCATCTCATCTGCGGCAATTTAATTGTTACTTCGATTAACCCGTAATTGTTCATTGGCAAACAGTTTCACTAATAGGGTTGGATTCCGTCATTTTCCTTATTTAGACTAGTTGCATTTCCAAATACTCTTCAAAAGGCCTGCAGAACCCTGTTGCACTCTGGGTAGAAATTTCTAGTAAGGATGTTGATAGCAAAGGTTCAGGGTCTTGCCTTACAGGACCTCAGCCAAGAGCATAGCACATGGCGCGTCCTCCAGCTTGAAGGTGATTCACACCTAAAGGGTTCGTTTTTCGTTACAGTTTGCCTACTAATTTATACATACGGCATCGAATACAACACAGTTCGTGCTGTTTTACTCAGTTCATTCCACTGAGGCTTATTCCTAGTGGAAGGTTAACCGACCCCATGAAAATCACCTACTGCGGCAGCCCATACCCGACCATCTTCAGTGGGGTCTTTCCAACGTCGGACACCGTAGACAGAGCGTGGGTCAAGATAAATAACGTCCGATTTGACGGTTCAGCTGCCTCTCTGTACCGACCCGCCTTCAACCTATGTCCATGTTGTAAACCCTTCTTACATGCTTGCCATCCGATCTACGGATTGCCGTGTGAAACAACCAGTTCGTCGTTGCTGGGACAACTGTCAGTTATGGTATTTCATGATGGCTTTGTCCGAATGCTTGATTGTAGACTCGATAGACCTATTTTTGCGCGGGTTTTTAAAATTCAATCCCCACTACAATCTACTATGCCAAACCTGACCAGATTTCATTGCTCAGCACTATAAGGAAAAGTCTATCCAGTAATCTTAAATTTACCACGCAAACTTGCCCCTGAATCAATGGTACCAGGACCGTCCCTAGGTTACCGTTCTGTGTGTGACAACTCCAGGCTCCAAAGCTCGACAACATAGTATTAGACAGACCTCTGTCGTCGCAACACATCGCTGTGCCCTCACATGAATGCGTTAGAAGCTTTATAGTGCTTATCACCAAACATCGACCAGCATCAGATGGATCACTCTGATACGGTGGGCTAATGAGCTATGGGCTTGCATTCCTAGTTGCTGTGTAAGTGCAACGCACTATCCTGGTACCGTTGAATGGTACGTACGCCTGGAGACATCTGTTACCCATTCAAAGCGTTCTCAAAACCTCTGGCTGTGCATGATACAAGTTTTAACAACTGAGAAGGATAAGCAGCCTTTTGTATGCAATCACATGCAATCGCGTGTTGTTTACATCCTCCCACACACTGCAGTCACGTCTGGGGTTAGATGATGCCGGTTGTACACTTCTTAAGAAAACAAAATTTTGGTGTGAATTCTCAAGACGAGTTGAAGAATTACAATATACTGAATGCAGCTAAAGGCTAGCTTGGCTGGGTTGTTTCAATAGCCCTTTGGAGAAGCGGATAAATTCAATCTCAGTGGTCGTATCAGAAGCGGCTTTTACCTGGTCGGTCCGTTCCCAAAGCTTCAGCGTTACTCAAATCACCTAACTTGGACTCAAGCCCGGACCATACTCCCTGATATTAAAAAGAAAAGAGTAGAACGATAATTAATTGCGGCAAAAAGATGGCATTAGCACAAAGCTACACCATTTTCAAGAAGCACACTAGATTCCCGTCAAAGCGGGATAAATAGTGAGTGATTCATCATGCATCCGACTTAACAAAACTCATGTCAGATTCGATAGCTGTGGTGACTTCCAGTGCTCAAAGCTGCACAATTTATGATCACCAAGAAGCCATAAAATAAGCGTCAGACTTAAATCGTCTCAAATTCAATCCATCTTATTTTTTAATGAAACGCTTCTCTGTCTACTGTTTATGAAAACAAAACTGACGTAAACCCCATACAAACAGTCTAAGCTGAAAGAACACTGATAAGTGCTAGGGGCTGATTTACGATGAATTCTTTGCCTCTGGAATGGATAGACTGGTAATAAACACAATATATATGAGTGATACTTTGACCGAATCGTCTTTTTATTCACTAAACACAGTCTCCCATGAAGTTTGTGTCTGTTTTGAGAGGAAGTCGGAAAGTTTCTCAGGCATTTTTGCATGGACACGACAATAGTCTCAACCTAGAAAAAATCGTGATGTAAGATGTTGCGTACTGACTGTGAGGCAGGTAAGCCAGCCTTCTCCAGATTTACCGAAAGAACATTGAACCTACTTTCTGCATAGTGTCAGTGTTCTCAGTCCATAAAGGTTCGAAATGAATTCTGTTGACAATTTTTCTTCATATAAAGTTTATATGTGCATGGTGCATCAGTGAGCATGATATTGCTCAACATAATACCTTCACCCCTAACAAGGGGATAGCTTCTTGGCAGGTGGTTTTTGCTTGAGGGAAAACTCTATCAGATAATTCGCCATTTTTGTGTGGTAAAATAAAGATGCTTTCCGAGCATCTGTGTACAACCTGCTTTGGATCATCACTAGGCTTCGATGTAACGGTATCATCTCGTCACCTGGTAATCGAAGTTCAGTGCTGCAGTGATCCCGTGGGACACACTGGTTCAACCATTTCACGAAGACCAACAGGGAACGGCCCGAATAGCGGGTCCTCGTACTGCGAGAAATGGTATCACGAGGCAGTCTTGAGGTAAAGTCATACTGTTTACAGTGAAAATATGGGAAATATGGGTTAGAAAAGGTCGGCCTAAAAACTGCCTACCTCGATCGCCCAGCGGTTGACGGTGACCACTGGCACATTGTTCAGTACGGTCGAAAGGCTTTTAAAACCGAACAGTCTGGTTTTATTCAGAAGCCACTGCTGCGCGCAGCCTTATTAGGATTCAGACGATTATGCCTTACACTTGTATCCTCGTGTCAGGCCAGTCCCTGCAGCCAAGTGGGTCAAGCGCTCTGAGGGACAGCAGTTCCGAGGCTGAGAAAGACATCTTGTATCGCGGTTATCCACGGTTGCGTCGGTCAGCATGAAGTACAGATGTTACGATTCTGGAAACTGATACGAATACCCAAGTCGGCGGGCTAGGATATGTGGGGCGCGTCTTGGTGAGTGATTTGGAGTTCACCATCACCACTCAGATCACGGCTAGCGACCTCCTCGGTTAGTTGTTGAACATCATGTCTTTTCAGCCAACACAGACTTCAATATCAAATGCTCACACCGTTTTACCTGAAGGCCAGGAACTGCAAATCATCCATGAACTCATTTAGATTACGTGGCAGTCAGGTGCCGGTGGAGAGATTGTCGTTCATTTTGGAGTACACAAGTTGACTTTGACCAGGGCATTTCGCCTATCCGTTCGATTACCCTCTGTAGCAAGCAAGCTGGCGCAAAGTCATTCAATTCATCACTTACAAAGCGTTTCCATATCCCAACCATTCCGAGTTGAACTGATTAAAACACTTCCAGAACTCGGCGTATATGATGGTTGTAATGGCAATTTGGATGACGACTGGAAAAAGATGAAAGAAGCCACGCTCACAGCTTGTGAAACCGTCTACCCAAAGCCATTTAACAACCCAATCAACGCCGAAGCTCTTCACGATTAACTTCTCTGACCGAAGTCAAAAATTTTTACCAGGGAACAAATGATTATGATGATATGCGCAGATCGCTCAGACGCCGGGCACTGAAGAGCTTAAGGAATGACAGAAAGCTTCGGGGAGTTGTGAGAACCCGAAAATGAAGAAACCTTTTACAACGGGAAACAAACTTACCCTGTACCAGATAATCCGATCAACTGGTCCGGGGTGGGCGGGAGTTTGTGAAACGGTCTACGAAAAGGACGGAACCTTAATTCATCCAAAGAAACATCATCTTGAACGACGGGCTGAGCTCTCTCGAGAACAGTCCAGCTGGCCTCCATTAACTCAATCCTTTTGGGGAACAAATGACCCCGAGTGAAGCATTGACGTCATTCCACCGTCAACAATGGAAGTCCGACGTGCACTTTATTTCTCCAGAACAAAAAATCACCTAGTTCAGATGGTTTACATCCCGCTCTTTTCAACTAAGATGGTTAATCCTTAGTGTAGTCTAAAATATTTGGCATGCAGAAAAATGAATGCAGACAGGATTAAGGGCCTGGATGGCGGTTCCCATATTCAAAGGGGTGCAAGACCACCGTGCGAAGCCATCGCGGCATCACTGTAGTGACCATAACTCCAAGGTTCTCTCCGGCATTATCCTGCTCACACTGACTGATCATCGGGATATACAGGTTCTCAAAAATCAAGCTGGGTTTCACCATGACTGTAGTTGTGACAAGCGGTCGAAATGTGCCACTCCTTCCTAAGACCAACAGTAGTGTTTTCCTCGATATGGAGGCTGTTTTTGGCCAGGCTGGTCAGAGGATGCTACAGTAGTGTTTCGTGAGAATGAGTTCCACTTCAAAGCCCCTGTTTCCTGTAAGCTCCCTCTGTGCCTCCTCCCGTGGACTCGAATGTATCTGCGTGAAATTTTCTAGTGGTATCGTCACTCTCTCAGTTCGATTTCGAAACAAACCTGCTGCTTGGGTCCAACTTGACAGCCTCGAACATCGAGGGGATCGAAATACTTCCAGAAGGTACTCTGGTTGACACTGAATACACTAATGATATTGCTCTTTCCGGTTCAAACTCTTAGAAATTTAAACTGCT